TCCATACCATCACACCACCAAGTTCGTGCCTCTTAAAGTACTCTATCTCTTTTTGAATAGATCAAAAAACATTATTACCGTGGTGTTTTAAAAACACCCCATAAAAAATTTCGAACAAGAATAGATTCCAACATATCTAACATCTTCGTATTCAACCCATTGGTCATCTTTGTACATACGAGTATATGGTACCAGTTGCTCTTCCTCGCATTTCACCATCCATCCACCATTTTTCTGTGTTGTGCTTGACAAATCTCGCTGTATCGAGTTCCAGCGGTGCTTTCATTATTGGCTGAAGTGCCAATACCGTTGTTATTTGGATTGTCGTGAGTATAGCATGCCCATCAAATGATATACCTGGAATGAATTTTTCGGATGGTGCACCTAAATTTATCCAATAGCTGTCACTGTATTCAATTAACAATAAATTGGCCATGAATAAATTTTGCAAATTCTATTCAAATAAAAAACAAAGTTAATTAATTTACTTAGAACAATAAGTTATCTTTCACTGCCTTATTCCCAGGAAGCTGTATAAAGCGGTGCGTTGATACCAGTTTTATTATCCCACGAACCATGTATATCATACGCCATAAGATTGACAAAATGTTAGTACTTTGCAACTTCAGCATTACAAGAGATATTATAAGAGAGCCTTGTCATAACCTCGATCGCCACTACGGCTGCCGTCAATAGAAATCCCTCTTTATCGAACCTTTCTCTTAATTTTCTCAAAAGAAGAATATAATTATGCTTATCTGTTTCGTCTCTACCGTGCTGGTTAGGGTATTCCCAGTCAAATTCGTTGGAGTCATACTTCTTTATAAACTCAACGATGTTGTTCACGAAAGCTGTTCTAGTTTCAGCATTGGATACCATCGGTGAGAATTTCATGGATCCTTCGCTTCTACCGCCGTCGCTGATGAGAGTCTTATGATTTGGATTACGTTTGCGTAGTCCGTTAAACTTTTTAATATCGTCATAGTTTCCACCCTCGGTAGGTCCCAAATCTATGTCTCTATATAAATGTTCAACCGTTCCTTGTGCACTGGCTGTTACGAATGCATAATTGAGATGAGTACATAACGACAGATTGATGGTCTCGATACCTGTGCCTGCATTACATACTGACCAATTGGTATAATAGCATACAATTTTTCTTGTAATAAAAAAAAGAATTTTTACTGTAATGAGGTTACAAAGTCGAGCATGATGATGCTTAGAAATTATTCAGAATTGTATAAATGCCTTATAATTTTTACGTCGATGGTGTATCGACAACTTATTTAATATTCGTTCTTAATATTAGTTAATTAATTTTAATATTATTTTCCATTATCAATAATGCTTTATTATACGTAATAGCAGTTTATTGACTTATATTTTTTATAATTATAAGTATTATATTTTTCATTTTTTAATACATTTTCCTTTAAATTATAACTGACCGACAAATCACTAAACCTAAAGTATTTCTTTTTCCTGAAATATTTCAAAATCTTCTGTTAGTAACAAATTAAAAGCTCACTTTGACCAGACACTGTAACAGATGCCCATGCCAAAAGGATCAAAATAGTGTTAGATATAGACCGCATTATTAATAATTCACTTTACCACACGAATTAGTTTTAGCTAGTTGTTATATCAACGACTGAAGTATGTCTTGCAAGATATTCATTTATATAGTGCAAGGAAAGTGCTCCAACTATACTTCGTCCTCAAACGTCATTCATTTTTATTTAGCTGAAACTATTTTAACGTATATCAACACACGTACAATATTCGTTACAATTTTTTTTGTTTACGTACGCATACATGTTTACTAATATATAATTATCATTCATGTAAATCTCATCAAAACGAAAATAGCTGGTATTTTAATCTCGTATAACAAATGATATAAATATATGCGCCTGATTCACGGCAAAACCTTAAAATCCTATGTGTTTAAATTTAAACGTTTTAAGTGTGTAATTGTGACGTCACCCATAAGAAATACATTGTCGCTGAATTTAAACGTTTAGAAGTGCTTAAAATTGAGGACAATGTATTTCTTATGGGTGACGTCATATTAAACGTTTAAATTTAAACACATGGGTTTACCGTGATTATTAAAACTAAAACGCTGGGAAAACTTTGAGAAGTCTCTATATGTATAATTATAGCTCAATCAAAGACTAACTCTTAGATAATATTAGTTTGAAGAAAAATTTAGTTATTATCCATTCCGAAAACCGTGTAAGAACTGCACTAGTTTATTGTTTATCTACTATAATAAAAATATTTGTTGGTACTCAGATTGACATGGCTATCGTATGTAATTAAAAATTTAAGAGAGTAAATTTAAAATTGAAAGCTTCTCGTATAAATGTTTCTTCTTAAATTAATCTAACGAAAAACGTAATCACGTTATTTGATTATCAGTGGGTATTTTAAAGAAATATCTCGTTTGTATTTGGTATATCAGTTTTGTCTTTTAGATGTTACTTACAGAAATACTACAATACTCGAGAAAGTATTATAATATAAAGTTGGTCATTTGTTATTTTAAATACTCATACTCAACGACATGGATTGAAATGCTCAAAAATAATCGCTAAAACAACAAATAAGTCTACAATATTAGAGATTAATTATTGTAATAAGTTTTAATTATTATTAAGTACTATAACTGTACCAAAGTTTCAGCATCTTTTCATTCTACATAGACGCATTATAATTTATTATCGTTTCTTTATGTTTTCTAGACTTTCTTTGTTATCTTGCAAGTCAACAGCATAGCAATCTTTTGAATTGTCATAATACGCTTGTACACTGGTCATTTATTTTCATAATATTAAGTGTTGTCTTTCACTCAATATTAAGAATAATACTCTGTGTCTGCATTAATAATGAATATCTTTTTATTGTATCGATGATTTTTACATAAAAAATTTCGTCGTATCATAAAAAATATAGTAAATAATAACTTTAAAATATAAGAATGATCACTTTCCTAGATATCTTCTATAAAAATTATTAATGAATTTCCTCACAGTTTACTACCAATAATAATCAACTGTGTATTTTTGTATTCACACGATCTCGTAAAATATTATCAACGAGGAGTAAATATTGATATCAAATGCAACAAGAATCGAACAACGAAATTAAATGTTATTACTGCAGTATGTAAGAATTTGTACCTTTTTATTGTTATTTTATAATAGTTATTTTATTTTAAAATGTTATTTTGTATAGCAGAATAAATTATCTAGATTATAGAAATGTGATCAGAAGTTAGTTATCGATTGTGATCGACTTATGTCATCGTGATAATCAAAATGATAATCTGTCGGCGTTATAGAATTATGTTATTTTGTTCCTGTTCTTGAAATGCCGCTTTTTTATTCGAGATCTTTGATTGATGCTTTGTTTTATTAGTAACCAATTAAAGTATTTTATTGCGTAGTTTTTTTATCATCATGATCTTTCGATCTTTCGTTTTCCGTATAGCCACGTATATAAATTGTAGAAAGTTTATTTACTTTGTTCCATTTCCTACGAGAAGTTTACTAATATTAAGTTCATATTACTCGTGCAGATTTTTAATTGAAAGCGGAAATTATTAGTCTATTTAGTATCAATGAATCTTGATTGATTGGGTATTAAAAATAACCGAGTCCAAAACAAAAAATAAAATAATATAATATCGAAAAAACTGAGGATGCTTGAAAACAATTATACTAGAAATCAATGATAAAAGTTTATACTTCATCTTTAATAGCATTTAACGAAAAATATTTCTCTCAATCTACCGTTATGGAATTCGTATACGCTCACATTTTTTTGGTTCAATTTCTTGAGAAAAGATTAACCAAATGCCAATTACATAATTCATGCAATGAAATCAATTGTCTAAGTGTCAATATTTTATAATCTCAAGAATAATGTATGATTGTTTGGCTGTAAGCTTGACTGCAACCACGGACGCCGTTAGTATGAAACCTCTGTCAACTTATTTCCTCGTATGTCAGCTTCAACACCGCTATGCGAATTCGAAATACAATATTCGATTATCAAAAAATCAAATTTAGTTATTCATTATATCTTTGAACTCGTAAAGGAATTAAAATACAACATAATATCAATTAATTGATTCCAATTTGTACTTCACTCGATGTGGTACCGTTGTAAATCTAAAATTTTTATGAAAGTTGTATTAAATCATAAAAAATATTATAGAAAATAGGGACTATTTATTTAGACGTCAAAAACTTGTAACGTTTTAATTTACTAACTTTTGAAATAACAAGACATAGAATGACATTTTACCATTGTAATTAATAATAGATGACAGTACGGCAGCAAATGTCTAAAAAATTGCATGCGTGATTGTGTGCAAATGATGCGACACGTTATTCATTAATTAACTGATATATCAAAATTTTCTGACCTTATATAGACTTCAGTTATCGTTTCATAAAACGATAAACCGATAACCTTTTCGAGTTATCTTATACGAGTATTTTTGGTAATCATTTTTCCGCATTCATCAGCGCTCTAATTGATTAAATATTAGGAATGCTACTTTATATCTCTATATAACTTTGGTTGTTATATTTAATATTATTGCAATGCCTATTAATGGATAATATAATATAGTTTTTACTTTAATAAAAGCGTCTATTGTATCATTAGTTTTCCTTATAAATTAGCAAATAAGATAAATAAATAAAGTTAATAAATAAACAGTTTCATAATTTAAATATTCATATTTCATACAAAAACATCGCAATATAGAAGTTACAAAAAATAGACACAAATTATCAATAACTACAATTCAAGTAGCACAATTAACATAATCAAAAGTATTGCTTATATTAATAGCGCAGTGTTAAAAACAAAACCACCAGGGCATCTACTCTTAATCTTCTTGAATGTCTTCTCTGAATTTAGCATGCACATGTAATAAACAGCGCAATCGTATGAATCACGAATGTAACCAGGTGTGTAACAAATCACCAAATCACTGTTGTTGCCGTTTGAGAACCATCTCTGAGTACGCGATTCAGTGCCATAAGAAGTGGAAATTTATCACGACAGATACCACGAAAATCGTCTCTTTCAATAGTCCAAAGCATGGCACCTCCAAGTCCGAGTGCATTGATTAACTCTGCTTTTTCTTGAACTGATCTGTGAAAATGAATGGAGTGAAGAGATCAAGCTTCCCGTAAAATAATGCAACAATCAATAAAAATAGTGGATTAACGTTGCTATGATTTTTACAAGTAATCATAACACGAACAATGAACTAAGAATTACTTTGGATTATCGTATCCAATCCACTGATCTTCAAACGCATAAGGAACTCGCTGCTCCTCTTGGAAATTTAAAGACCAGCCACCAGCAAGTTGAACTTCGCATATTTCGTTATATCCTAAACTTCCTTCATCTGCTGTGTAAGGTCTGCTGTGTAAAGGTAAGATGGAGTTTTTCTGCTGGGGCACCTTACGATAACCAATAGCGCACTGTAGTATTCCACGGAAAATATTCAAATAGAATTATAATAATTGCTAATAACATTTAGTTTCGTAAGTACATAATTAACAATTATTCATAGTTATGTAAAGTTAATAGAAGATTGATTGAACTTTCATAAACGACATAAAGTAATAAACAGTAAATCATTAGATAATATCGTTTGATACAGATTATTTTTTAGCATTTCTGATTATTAATTATTATATTTAACATAATTAGGCGGAAATAATTTTTTCTGGTTTAGATGACAATATTTTTTATGATATCAACTTCTTCGTGAAAAATTAATAACTCTGTTATAATTGATTGTGCGATAATGAATTTTCCCTGATAAATAATTTAAAAACTTTTCTGCAACAAATTGTAATGATAGAACACAATCGACGTATTGTTTCATAAATAATATTCCTAATCTGTATAAGTATACGGTGATCAATTCCATACAACATTGAGAAGTCTTTCCCAGCCATTCTCCCAGGATCCCACATAAATTGGCGAATTTATTCCAGTTTTTTTATCCCAAGGTCTATGCAGATCCCAAGTTATGAGATTGATCAAGTCTAAGTATTCAACAATCTCGGGAATGATGTAAGATTGTTCAGCTAAATTCTCAAATGCAATGACTACTGCCGACAATATCAGTTTTTCATTATTGCACAGTTTCCTCAATTTCTTCAAAAGAAGAACGTAGTTTTGTTACCATCTTTGTTCGAATACGTCCAAAACAAATCTAGTCCATCGAAATTATACTTATTTACAAATTTGACAATGTTTTCTGCAAATGCAATTCGCGTTACGGGATCGGCAACTACTTTAGAAAACGCTTGCGAGCCACTACCCCAACCGCTGATTGCGATGAATGTTTTGACAGTAGAATTGTCACGTAACCGATTGAACTTGCCAAATCCATCGAGATTGCCGCCTGGTTCGGAAGCACTTAGATCATTCCATCGATCTAATACTTCGATACTTCCATCGATCTAATACTTCGATACTTCCATTGCTTCTCAGACCAATAAATTGGTAGACTAAATGTGTGCACAAATGTGGGTTAATCTGATCTATGTTCATTTTGCCATTGCCTTGACGGTGTTGTGCCCCGTTACCAAAGTAACAGAATATTTCCTAGAATTGAAAAATGACAAATTCATCTGTAAATTTAAACTTTTCTATGCGACCAACAGTGATCTGTACATTTTCGTATCTTATTCTAAATTGTAAATATATACAAGATAATCAATCAATAGTTTAGCATTTAATTTTAAAAATGTAGATACAATGGAATAATTTTTTGATCATTACATGTAAACGTTGAACACATTAATTGGGTATGCCATATATATCCGAAAAATAATAAAAAAATGTTGCTCATTCAAACTGACAGCACAAAATAAACCAGCAATTCGATTAACTCTCAGCGAAATTAAACGTTGATATGAAAAATAATTATACTTACGATGGTATACCATTCGACCTATATATTAGAAGATTTAAAAAAATGTGATTTACTGACGTATAATATACAAATTGCAGTCACTACGGCTGTGTTTTAAAATTTTATTATTACATACAATCGTTAAAATGATTAAAATTCATAAGAAAAACTCAAATTCATAATTTATCACAATTTAAAAAGAATTCTTGGAATGAAGAAGGCATTGTTTGCATTAATTATAATTGCATAATTGGTTGTAACAAGTAAAATTAATCAATTAGCAACATGTCCAATGTTTATCAGTAAAATGTTTGTAGGAGTTGTTTATTCCCCATTGTTATTGAAAACCAGGTAATGAATGAGAAGGGGATTGAACACACCGTACGTAATTATAGCTATACTTGACGTTATTCCTGAATTTAATTTTAAACTTTGATAATAACTTTTTAAAGTGTTTAGTTTTTTTTTGAAATATAAAAAAGTTATTAAGAAGTGAAACGAAATTAATAAATCGTAGGGGTTAAAGAATATTCTTAATGTACTACAAAATTTCATTGGTTTCTTTTCTTTAGTTTTATATTGAAAAAAATCTGATTCCACTTTAAAGATTATACCTTAAAGAAATATTAACATTACTAAAATTCAATAGAAAGCGTATTTCAAATTAAAATTACATTTTATTCATTTGAAAAACAACTAAGGCTAGTAAACAAATGAAAATTCAACAGAAATTACAATATCGCGAGAAATCAGGCGACTATAATTATAATAGAAAAAATGAAATACCCAGTAACATCAATCACGTGCTTAAATTAGCGAGTGTCTTTTATCGATTTATGAATAAAATAGAAAGACTCACTATCATTGTAAGCAGTAACGACTGACAATGCAACAGATACTATCCAGAAACTTGTTGGCACCATTACGAATGACTCTATTACGACTGATTGGTAAATTTTAGTTTACTCATCACACGGAAACTTCTTCACTATTTGTCTTTATATACTGTCATGATACAGCGTGACTTCAGCCTTAACCGCATACACTATGAATGGCGGCAATTGCAAAAACAAGGTAAACGTTCACGTGAAAACCTAGCTACTCACACTTTCTTGGTTCAGTCACTTGATTTTTCGATAATTTACAGCTTCACTTGGTTATTCGAAATCTAGTGAAACGCTAGAATCTTAACAGGTATACGTACGCATTTAGGAAGTTAACGTGCATCTTAGATGCAAGTGTTTATTGATCACCGATATTGACTGTATGTAATTTTATTGTTTTCTCCGTAATGATGACCTCGATTTATCACATAACTTTTTTTCCTTTTTGAAACATTTTTTTACGTGCTATCATGTAACTGAATACATTATATAAATCTTGAACAACGAATAGAATAATCTATTTTAAATATTTTTAAGAATAATATATTTGATTGAATAGTTTTACGTCAATTATTTTATGTAGATTTCATTGCAAACTCTAACTGTATTGGCTTTTGCATAACGCATTTGTTTTAAAAAATTTTTGTTAGGCATCAAGTACACGCTTTAAATCCTTGCATTACTGCAATAGATTTTTCACGTATAAGAAATTTTATGTACAAATATTTATTACAAGAATACATAAGCATCAAAGTGTGTTAACAATAAATAAGTTTTCTTGTGTATTCGCAGGTAACATAAGATTTTCAGATTTGTTTGTTTGTTTGTAATGCTACTTGTTTTATTATAGATATTTTGTACGAAAATATTACAAGGTATTCGTTAAATATATCTATCTATTTCCTGCCACAATAAATCGATAATCTCAATAGAACTCGACAAGTTGTATGAGTATCTTGTACTATTGGATTGTCTGTTAGTTACCGAGAGAAAACTTAAAAAAAAAAATTTCCTCGAAAGCAGATATTCAGAGTAAGATATTGAAAATTAGTTACAGTTTAGCTATTATGCTGCAAGTATAATAATATTAGTTTGCAAAAAAAACTTCAATTCATGCAGTACAGTCAACAGATTGAGGTGAATTGCAAATATCCAATATCGTATCAAAAACTAATCCAGTAGGACATTTGTATTCAATTTTCTGGTATCCCTCTTCAACATCAGGCATGCATTTGTACTGAACAGCGCAGTCGAATGGATCACGAATATATCCTGGCCTGGTACAAGTCACAAAATTACTATGATTTTCGGTTGTGGTTGTCGTATGGAGTGGAGGATCGTAGTACTCTATTTAGTGTTTTGAGAAGTGGATTTTTTTCACCACAGATGCCGTGAAAATCGTCTGTTTCGATACTCCAAACCACAGCACCCCCAAGTCCAAATTTATTAATAAATTCTGCTTTCTCTTGAATGGATCTGTGAAAAAATAGATTATTTGATGATCAAGTTCAGCAGAAGACAATGTGGTAGGCAATAAAGTCATCGATTAAATGTATGATATTTCACGATCATCATAGTGCAAACAATAGCGCCCAACTTACTGTGGATCGTCGTATCCAACCCATTGACTTCCTTTGACCGTATACGGAACTCGCTGTTCCTCTTGGTATTTCACATCCCAGTCACCATCAAGTTGAGCTTCACAAATCTCGTTATATCCTAAAGATCCATCTTCGCCGGTGTATGGTCCCTTGGTACCTTTCTTGTGAGCTGGTGCTCCAATTACGTTATTTTCTGGATTGTCGAGTGTAAAACTTCGACCGTAAAATGGCATACCGAGAATGAGTTTCTCAGCTGGAGCACCTTGAGATAACCAATAATGCACTGTGGCGTTCTATAAAAAATCATAAATAGCAACATTTAAATTTGTATTAATGCAATTGAGTTTGGTAGTTGTTCAGTATACGCGAATTATGTAAACTGTAAGTAAATTTGACAGTTAAATTATCGTAGATTTAATGTAATAAAAATCTAAACGATAATTAACAGATTACTATCTTATTACATTGAAGCAATTGCAATAAAAATATATTTAATGAAATAACTTTTATAAGGAGATAATGTTTACTCGACTTATGGTGTGATGATACGTCTGCCTTCAAAGCAAAGACGCCGATTAGTTTCACGAATCACAGGGAAGCACATTTGACGTTCGATCGTATCACCACATTAAGAGTGACACCCAATCTAATCAATCACGAAATTAGGTGATCGTATACTTACAACATTGAGAAACCTTTCATTGCCACTTTCCCAGGATCCTGCATAAAGTGGAGCGTTAATTCCAGTTTTTTGATCCCAAACGCCATGCATATCGTACGCCATAAGATTGACAAAGTGCAAGTATTTGATGACCTCGGGAATGATGTAAGATTGCTCGGCTGAATGTTTGACTGCACCAACGCCAGCCGATAGGATCAATCCTATTTTATCAAACCTTTCCCTCAACTCTTTCAAGAGATACACGTAATTCTCTTTATCAGTTTCAACTCCACCGCGTTGGTTTGGATATTCCCAGTCAAAATCTAAGCCATCGAAACCGTACTTCCTTAGAAATTTCACAATATTTTCTATGAAAATAGTTCGTTTTATGGGACTGGAAACTACTTTAGAAAATTTGTCTGAGCCTTCATTCCATCCGCCTATTGCAAGGAGTGTTTTGACATCAGGATTAATACCACGTAATTGATTGAATTTGTTGTAGCCGTCAAGACCACCATTTGGTTCGGATGGACCTAAATCACCCCATGGATCTAATACTGTTATGCTTCCATCGTTTTGCAGACCGACAAATGTATAAATCAAATGAGTACATAGAAAAGGATCGATTTGATTTATGTTAATCTTTCCATTGCCTTGACGATACACTGCCCAGCTGCCAAAGTAACATACTATTTTTTCTAGGATCACGAAATAAATTGTAATTAATAAATATGACCAATAACTTGCAATGAAAGCATGGATGCCTGTGTTTACATTCTTGGAAAGTACTTTTTTAACAAATATCTTATCCATATCTTAGATATTTTTCTAATGATGTAAATATTACGTATTGATTTATTTCTAGGATGTTACGAAATGCAAGCATGAATGATAAAAAGGATGGACTGAATCAAAATCACGATTTTTTATTTACATAAATCATAGCTCTGAAGTGAGACTGTCTGTCGAATCTGAACTGTCAAAAGCTTAAATTTTTTTTGTGCTGCAATTAACCGTCCACCCTTTGTACCATCCTCATAGCAGATTACAATTATAGTGTCATACAAATTTTGACTTATCTCAATTTCAAATTTCACTTAATTTTAGCATGCATTATCTTAATAAATTTTTTAAAGAAACAAATTTTTAATCATTTTTGTATTTTCCAAAGATGACACGGAGCATTTTCTATCAATTTATGGATAAAAAAAACTCACTTTCGTTAAAAGCAGCGGCACAGGTTAGCAAGGCAGTGAGCGTTAAGAAAATCGCCCGCATGATGTCCGAGTAATAATGTCATGTACAATTGTGCGACTGACTGGTTCACCAAAGGTTTCTTATCTTCTTATAGACTTTGTTGGTCATTGTATAAGTTGATAACGCGATAAGCTTTTCGACTTATTGTGCTCCACGGTGCTCTGATCATTTTTTTCTGAGACATCGCGTTTAATACTCATTCTTTACTGAAAACAATGATATTTTTTTATTTCGGTATTTCAGTTTTTCAGTGATAACATATTACCTTTTGACGCGTAATCAATCAGTGGTTTTCAGGTAATTGTGTGAAATAATTTTGATCCATGAGTTGTACATAGCAACAGCTATGTTTTCCGAGATGTAGTTGATTCTTTTATAAATATCAGAGTTCTTGTAAAATACTTTACATAAAACATTCCTTTCTGAATATTATCAGGCTTAAATGTTATTAGGCTTGAATATAATTCTGAAGATTATTATGCTCAATTAAAATTTTTTAAATGACTCATTAAAATTCTCAATAAACCATAATTTTCCAGTGCAAACATATTGGATTACAAACGCTTAATCCTTATATCTTTTCATCATTTCTACAAAAATAACATCACCATGCATGTTAATGTCTTATTTGGGCTCATCATATTTGATCAACGTATTACCTTTGATTGCATGAAATACATAGTTTATCCTGAACCTTGAATTCACAGATTACTCAATTTTAAGAGCTTCGCAAGATTATAACGTTCAGAATATAAGTAATGAATATCTATTACGAAATTCGTTTCAAAGAAATCAATACTGTCTACACATGACCTAAAATACATATATAATAACAAGACTACAATCGAACTACGGACAGTTTTGTGGACGATAACTGGGTTATCATAAAAATGAAATTGCTATAACTCAGTCTGATTAATCATTATACAATATTGTTATGAGTTGCTCCCTTGATATCGAACGTAAAAAGAATAAAAACATTGCTAGTTAATTTAGTTGTTCGCTTCGACTGTTGTTTTGTTAGCATAGTTGAATCTCGTAATCGATATGAGATACAAAACGCTTAACCTGTTTTGTGTATTAAAAAACACGTTTGATTCCTTTTATAACAAGTTGTATTATTTATTATAATCGATCGAGTGTAACAATATAAAGTTATAGCTTGCCATATCCAACAAGTTTCCGTATATCTCTTTGACCGTCGATTTGAGTAGTTTGTTTTCGAGAATTATATGTTTGACGAGTAAAATGTATCCTACGATTATCTACAGATAGAGATACAGATAGCTATAGATTTTTCAACAGACTTAAATATTGGATCGATCAGAGGGATTATTTCAAATTCACTGTAGGTGACTTGTTGAACAAATTTAATCAATGGATTTTTCATGACAAATCGCAGTTCATTGAAAATGGATTGAATCTTGTCTCTATATTAGTCACTTCGATAAAGTTGGCTAAATATAACAATGACCATATTTTTTTATCAAGAGGGAATTTTTTAAATTGCTTTGAAAGAATTAAAATAATTATAATAGAAAAAAATTATAACTGTCACTGCTAATTTTTTCCAATCTACAAAAGAATAAAAATGTTATATTGATTTATGTTATTCAAATTGATTTTATTACAATCATTTTTTCAATTATTTAATGTATGTTCTAATTACAATGACGTAATTTTTTAATTATATAATGGCATATTGAAGTACACAAGTGAAAGCTTTTTATTATGGAATTATGGATTGAAATGATATTAAAAATAAGTAAACCACCTAGCGTGAAGTATTAATTTATATCTAACGTTTATTTTGTAACGTATTAGTGAACGTCAATAAAAAAAATACAAGTACACTTCACTGAATTCACATTTTTATTCGTGAGATCGTAAAAATTCAATTTTTTTTACAATAGCATTCACGAAGTACGTAACCTAAATACTGAACTTTTTTCTTTACGCGTCAGGTGCACGTTGCTCTAAAAAAAACTAGAGCACGCACATATGTACGCCATACGTTGCAGTCCATATACATCACCATTATTGGCAAATTAACGATTTGTGTGAATCGAGAAATTGATTAACGTTTCATTGTTTATTTTTCACAATAAAAACGAAATTCTTCACCTATTAGTTTGTTTGAATAACATATCTTGTAAAGTGTATTTATTTATTTAATTTGAGGTTCCTTTTGTTCTGCGAGAAATTAATAAAATGCAAATAAAGGTGAAATTTTATTTTTATCTTACGTTGGTTTACTCTATAAATTTATCAATTTTTTTATACATATTCCACACTGCACAAAGTATTGAACTTATTTCACGTTAAATTTATTTTCAGCAAATGGATTTCCAGCTTCATTTTGAACACATTGACTATTTATGTTGATAATTATATACATGTATATAAATTTCACGTTTATTATTGAAAAAATATAGTTATCAAATTATATACGAAATAATTTTTACGTGTTTGTAGTATATGAATTTTATATGCGTATAGAACACCGGAAAAATTGATAAACTGCTTCTGTTTATGAAACTGCAATATAGGCAATCTTTAAACTACACGCGTCAATTAAGTAAAAAAGTTTAAATTAAATTTTTTTATTATAAACTAACATCTGTAGGTCTACACTTGAACTTCAAGAGCTGAATATATATCGCGACAAGTAAAACTAGTCGTACCATCTATCAGCAAAACAGATTCCTGCACTTTCTGGTCAACGACTCATAATATATATTCTGCTATTCAAAGAAACTTTCTCCTGATCTTCAGCAGGTCATCATTTGACAAAAGGTTCAGTAATAAAATAATCTCATAATTTTATGCAAAGCAACTGTTTATTATTAAAAATTGGATTTGTTTTTTTGCAAAAATCTGCACTATATTAACATTACAAGTCGGGATTAACAAATTTGTATTGATTTACGATCTGTTACTTTTTATTGCAAGCAGTTTCAACAGAAAGTAGCTATTGTAATGAAAATGTAGTACATCGCTGAGGACACAGTTGGCAAACTAAGCCGTCGCTCACACAAGGCACAAGTATATAAAACGCTATTTGATTGCATTATAAAGTCGCGCATATTTACAGTGGGTGTGTCTGTTTGCTTGTCGTGTTTGTGTGTCTGTGGGTTACAATTAAATATTAACGATTACATTAACGAACTAACATCATTTTTTTAGTGTTGAAAAAAAAGTTTTTTTCATTCTTCTACTCTCTCTTATACTCGCGCTCTCGTATAATATCTCATTCTTTCCATTCGAATTCCATCTCGCGATGTTTCATTGCGAAGCATAGACGAAAAATGGAAAAGATAAACATTCTACTTTCCGGAGCACCATTGTTTCGCTAATTTATTTACAATAACTCTCGTTCACTTTTTTGCATTTAAGACACAACTTAGTTTTGCGAGCTACAACGTTAAACGCATGGAAGATCAAGAAGTTTCGACAAGAAGAGAAAAGAGAAGGAGAGGAAAAAATGAAAGTATGAGAACGCTATTCGCCATCCTGCTTGGCAGGCGTCAAAAAGAGGAAAATCGAGGAACAGAATATTGACTATTTATAACCGCGAAAATGGTATGCCTGGCGCCGTACAGTTCAGTCTTCGAAAGTGCTTGCGTCGCACGAACCAAAAAGTACTCTTCGTTTTCTAATGCTTTTTCTTCCGCGATTCGCGAAACTTAAGTACACTCTCGTTCGGTAAATTATCTCGAATAAAAGAAAAATATCAGCGGAAAACGTCCAATTATCTATTTCGTCGTTCGGTCCATCACGCGATCCATCACGAATCTTTTGATGACGTTGGTAAATATCGCATTACCAAATCTGCAAAAGTCCGGAGAACCGTTTGGCACGAAACGTAAAAGGAAGAGAAAAAGTAAATCTCGTCTTCGATCCTTGGCGAACGCTTTCGCAAACAATCGCCCGAACCAAAGAGAGTTTAAAACAAATAATAATAATAATAATAATAATAATAATAATAATAATAATAATAATAATAATAATAATAATAATCGAAACCATGGCATAAAATTAGCTTTCCCTCGCCGCACTTCCAGGAAAAAAAAAGGAAATTGTCTCGATGATTCCATGCACGTCTTCCTAACTATTTATATATAGCTTTATATAATACATTCACAGAGTAAATAAGATCACAAGCGTCTACGGAATCCCTAGGATATCCGGGTTAAAAAAAATGAATTAGGGATGAAAGAGAAAAAAAAAAGAAAGTTTACGCAATCTGCCGCTTGGCAGTGCAGCTGCATAATCTAAAAACATAAATGGATTGTCCCTATTTACAAGCGTCGCCGTATCACAAGTGCCGTCGCGCATACAACTATTGCACTGCCGATACACAAACATAGAAGAGCGAAAGAAACGATTGCGTTAACTCAATAAATTAATCAAAAGTTGCCCTCTCTCTTACTCTCGTTTGAGGGTGGATGGACCACAACGAGTCCTGCCTCAAAAGTTATTTACAAAGTGTATACAAAAAAAGGACTAGCGATAGTAAAAGGTGAAGACAGAAGTTGGCTACAGGTCGATGGCCTCTTTGAGCGCAGCCAGTTGCTCTTCGCCGAGCTTCACCTTGTCCTGGATCTCCCGACCGTCCACTATGAGTTTCGCCTTCATATTGATGAAATGCTGGTAATCCGCGTATTCCTCGTCGCTCAGGTACTTGGCAAGTATCCCCGACACGCTCACGCTGCGTCGGTCGATGTTACCCTTGAGGTTCTTGGCCTCCTCCAGCTGCTCGATCAGCTTGTCGCGCTTGGATTCGAGAATTTTCTGCGAAAAAACGGACAGCACTCGTTAGCCGCGTGAGAATGTCGGAGCAAGGCTTGCGCGACGTGGCGTTTCGGCGTTTCGATGTCGGAACAAGTTGAACGTGCGCCTCGAAGAGGAGACTTTATACGATACGTCAGCACTACTCGCAAACATTGTAAAACACTCGACGCGCGCGTTTCTTGTGTAATACCTCTTGCTCTTTCCACGCGAAAACAAGATGACTAAGATTACTGGCGTCGACGCGCGTGTTGGATCTATAAATGAATTTAATACGTTAATCAAGCGAGGCTCCATTTTCCGAACGGTCCATCACTTTCTAAAGAATTTTAATCGAAGAGCCGCGGAAAAGCGAACTCTGACTCATAAGCCGCGATTCACAAGGCATCGCACGTGCGCGGAGCATTCGCACTCACCCGTTCGGGGTGATCGGCGGGCATGCCGTAGAGGGCATTTTCAGCCCTGGCAAGTCGACCGCTGAGCCCGAGCAGCAGGCTCGTGATCTTGCCGACTTCCTCGACGTGCAGCCGATACTTGGAGGCTTCGGCGGGCCGAGCGACGGCGGCGACTCGCGCGGCCACTCGCGCCCCGAGCGCCTCGTTCACGTCGCCTTCCTCGCGGACTGCCTCTTGCTCGGCGCGCAGCACCACGAGCTTCTTGTCCAGTCGCACCATCAGCTCCTCCTTCAATCAAGCACACCCGTCGTCAACAAAGTGAAATATTGCGAGCCGACGGAGAGCTGTGAATAATTCAAATTTTCGCTCGATTCAGCTCGATTCAAGGACCGAGCGAAACAGCTCGTTCTTATTAAACGGAGCTCAGGCGGCGTCGACAGAGAAGAGCTGACATTGACAGCGTAACGCTGCTATAGGCGCCTATTCCCCTGCGCGCGCGTATTCAATCAGTCGGAGTAATGAATTTTAATAGCCGCCTTTTAGAGCGCATTCTTCGGTCGCTGACTCACCACTGTCAACCCAATAACTCTTTACTCGGTTTTTTCTTTTTCAGATTGTGCGTTGCTCTACTTTCTTCAATTGCACTCGAGACCAAGTGCCTACTTTTTTTACGAGTTGTCTTTATGGAAAAAAAGGTGTCGAACCGCTTGACACTTCCTACGTCGAAAAAAAGTCAGTGTCGATGGGCTACTCCGCGCATACAAATTTACCTTCTTCTGGCGAAGGTCGAGGCTGTCGGGCGTGGTGGCGTCGACGACTGGTGGCGTGACATCCTGCGAGTATCTGGTGAGGAAGCGCGCCTTGCTCTCGGACGTGGTGAAGTAAACGGAACTCGCCGAAAGCGGACCGTTGCTCGTCGTCGAGTCCGTTGCCGATGGCGTTGACGGTGTCACTGGCGACGACGGTATCGAGTCGATCCTGCAAACAGAAACGGAGCGTTATTATGCATGAGAAAAAGTTTGGCACACTTTCACTCTGCACGCGATTTTATTATTCCATGAGACGCGCGCTACTCTTGGCGAAGCGCAGTTTCGGGGGATTAGCAAACGGACATTTTTAGCCCAAGTACGCCTCGTGACTCTATCTGCATAATTGCCGTTATCCAAGAATCCTATCGTGCATTTGCAACGAGAGCAAAAAATAGACTTTCCGATCTCTATTTCTTCATTTTCAAAATCCAAATATCTTTGATAGCGGCTCGATTTGCACTGACACTGTACTTCTTTTTCGAGTCGATAACAGTACTATCCGATTTGCATCTTCATCTATCACGGTTAATTATGTCCTTCTGAGAAAAGGAAAACTGAAAAAAAAAAAAAAAAATTGCAACCAAGAGGAAATCCATCGCAAAAGAAAAATTAAAAGCCACTCGAGTGGTCAATGGTTACCTCGCGGTCTCTCTACTCTGAAATCATCGGCAGTAGCCGGGCAATTGCACAGCAAAGGAAAGCGGCACGATGTTATTTTGAAAACAAGTCCCCTCGCGCACAAGTCGTTACGTTACGTCAACGCGTTCGCATTGATGACTTATCGAAGACGCGTGCACGCGCGCGGCTAACGGGTTTTTCAGCCCTTTGTAGAAAATCGAGGTTGCGCGCATTGTCCGCGCGATCCTAACTGTACATCCTCGAAATCTCGTTTTCGTGCTGATTTTGCGTGCCGTAAACAGCAATTAACGACCGAGCCCGCTGCTCTCTCGGTGATTCGGAGCGTTTTTTACATCGGCGCGTGAGCGTCCAATCGACGAACAGCTAGGCACCGCTGCGATGCACATCTCTCGGAATTTAGACTCGGCAAACCCTCGCTAAAGTATCTTTGTCAGCGCGATTACGATGCTCGCGTACCGACGCGCCACCCTCTTTATTATCACATCAGGATCGCTGTATATTTTCGAAAGGCGCTCTTACAGAATTTGCATTTATACGCGCCAACGCGTAGAATTTCGTAACGTCGATAAACTTTTTTGGTCAACTTTGTTACAGCGCGTTACAACATGACAGTCGTCGAGAGTTAATATTTCAATGCGTTTGAGGAAACTTGTTCACTTATGGGGGGATTATTGCAGCGTTAGTCGACATTTTTTACCATATGGCCAATCTCCTGTACGTACGTCGAAATACTTTGAAAAGAAATGATTGTGAAAAAAAATATCGAACGAGAAATTAGTAAATTACTCATACGAAGGATAAGTGTGTTAATAGTGTTAGCTAATGCTCTAATCAATGTATTATCACCTCCAACACCAATCCAAAGGCACAAGTGAAATCCTTACATATTCCTCAAATGTGAAAATAAAAAAATGGGCGAAGACGGACTTGCTCCTATGCGCAGGCTTGTGCGTGCTGCATGAATGGCCGTTTCTAAGCTACTGTGATCCATAAGAAAAGAGAGCTAAAAGCAACAATGGCGCGTTGCGTGTCTGCGCGTGTGTGCGAAGGCGACTCTAGCTCTCTTGACAACATCATTTATGGTTACGCTTGCGTAAGTATTAAAGCCTCCTGCACACGACTTTCTCCTCCGGCAGTCGTTGGCGCTCTCGACGCGGGGGTTAGCGCGCGTGAAAGGTGTATCACGCCGCCGCGCCAAGTACCACGGCCTCCCACCTCCCCCTCCGCCGCCGTCTTTATTATTGCGAATGAAAAAGAATCTGGAGCGTTGTGTGTGTGTCTTTTTGAATCGTCATGCTCGCGATCGAACCTTTCGCTCGTTTCTTGTTTTCTTCTCTTCGTCGAGGGAGTATAACGAGCCGAAGGTCGAGGCGCGAAGTACCAAGTGACTTTTGTCTCGTTCGTATTCGAGGTCCGGCAAGCGAGCGGAGCTTTAGCTTTCGTTTTCCCGGCTTGAAAAATGAAAATTAACATGCATCCGTGTCGCAAACGTTGCGTCTGCCATTCAATTTTATAATCGGTGCATATATGCGCATCACCATATAAACGCGCGTCTGCGCAGCGCGTTCGTAACAACTGTGCACACGCGCGCAAAGTCGGCTGTGCGTTCCACTTGCTTCAATCATGCCGACGACGGACGAGCGAACGAGCGGTCGTAAAGCCGTTTCCTTATATCGTTTTATCGTCGCGACTATACGAATTTTTCGTTTGGCCGCAATCGTCTTCGCAGGCCGTGTAAGGGGAGAAAGAGCTTTTTGCGGAATTTTCGAAAGTTCATTCGGGGGAGTAAAACGCCTCCTCGGCGCGCAGCTTGTAATCTTTCGGCCGCGCGCTCTTTGTTGCCGCGGAATTCCTCGTCCGAGCGTTTTATCGCGCCGAGGAGCTTCCTCGATCATGTACTTTGCAGATGTTTAGCGCCCGCGTCGTAAATGCAACGAGGGATCGCGAGAGCGCGGCGCATTCCTCGCGAGCGCCCGACGCGCTAATCAATCGCGTTTGGCGAGGTTTTCGGATAGTTCGTCGCGCCTCCAACTTACTTCTTGTCGTACTCGGACTCGTTCTCCGAGGCGTCCACCAGCAGCGTCGTCGGATCCTCGATGGACAGCCGTGGTCTTGGCCGTGCTTGCAGCGCCGCCTCAACCCTGAACAAATCGACCACGTAGTCCGTTGACTTTTTGTGCTCCGGCACTGGAACTGCAAGGGAAAACGACAGCACAATGGAATATTGGGAATGCGAAAATCGAGCGCGCGATTGCGCAACGAGCGCCAGGTTGTGCAGCGCCGCGCGACCTGATTTCTAATCTCGTTTGGCAAATTGTGACAGTGGCTTTGTAAGAAAGAATGCTTTATTAAAGGCCTTAAACTTTTATCGCGCGCGAGCGTCGTGCGCGTTCGTGTTCCTTCTCTCTCCGCATTATATCCCTAAAGTCGTAAAACGTCACTATTGGCATTAACAGCTTTATTACGCTTCGAGAGAAAAAATATCACGCGCGTTATTTACGACAGCATCGTGTCGTTCGTTTGATTCGGTATTGTGCGCTTTTTTTTGTTTTGCGGAAGTATCCGTCCCTCGCGATGTTATATAAACAAGATAGATGAATCATACTCAATTAAAACACATAGTCGCGACAAAATCTGCGAACAATGTGTCGCAACCAAAAAGAAGCTCGCGGAAGATCGAGGTCGTCGGACTTCATAATGCCAAGACGTGCCGTTAACCTTCTCGCCCGTACACTCGGTGTATTACATTTTTATAGGTTTGCCGAAGAAGCCACACGTGAAAAAAGGGTCTTTCGCGGCATCGACGTGGCATTATTATTCCTCTCGCGAGATAGATAATTAGCCTGAAAACTTTTTCCAACGAAGGGACAAGAATTCCTTACTTTTTTCGTACTTGGATGAAAAACTAGTCTTGCTCTCTGCCGGCAGCTGAATTATTGGTATGAAAAGTTAATTGAGTCGGATACTGGTTCTCGAGAAATCCCGCAACTGCATCGATCATATCGTTTCATAAGGTTTATGTTTATTTGAAATGAGCGTGATGTATGGCGCAATCGTGGAAAAAAGGGTGGCTAATTTTTCCGACACATAAATCGCGACCGGAGCTAATTAAATCTGCACTTATTTGGCCGCGCGTTGCTCCAAGTTACAACTTCCGCGAATGTTCCAATTAGTTTGTTCGCAAAAATCAGCGCCGATCCAATACGAGCAATAAGCAAACTCACCTAAGATGGGCAAGAGTTTGTCGTTGGGACCCAGCTGATTCGCCAGATCCCGACTGAGTTCCTCGCACTCGATCTCCTCCTGAAGCTTCTTCCTGGGCTTGGCCAGACTCTCGAGTTCCGCGCCCTTCTTCTCTTCCAACTCCTCGGTCTGCGAGGCAACGTCGTTCGTCGTGGCATTGACCCTGAGCATAATTTCGGTACGTTGTATAAAGGTCAGTCCTTCGATCGTCGGCGACGTTCTCGACGGTGGCGAAGTTCGTATCGGGGATGACGGGTTGGACGAGCTAATACTGCTGCTGCTGCTGCTGCTGCTGCTCGTACTTTTGCGATCCCAATTCGAGCCGGTTTGTTCGGTTTGCGCTGGACTCGAGATTTTGCGTTCCGACGGTGACGGTGACGTCGCCGCTGTTCCTGTGGCTGGCGTGCTTGGCGACGGCGTCGATTCTCTAAACTTTGGCGAGATCGAGCTTGGACTGCAAACGATTCCATTTGTCAAGTTTTTCGTTTCTCAATGTTGACGATTATTACGACGATGCGTAATTGTCATGCCAGTGAATGGAGGTTAATAATAGTTGTGTTGCTTTTCATTAGTATGTTACCGATGTTGTGAGCTATTATTAATAGTTGAAGACTATTGCGATGACGCTTTCACTTTGGATAGCTGACCTAAAAACTGATTAGTATTTGGACTTCAAAGCAAATCAGTTCAAGTTTCATTCTTCAAGTGTAATAAGCTGAAGATGAGTTAAACGAATGAAGCTTTCGTTCGTAAAAACCACTAATGTCGTACGGAAAAAACACTTTTTTTCTCGTACAAAATAAAAGCTGACTTCAAAGTGTGAGCTAGATTTCCGAAAAAAGAGGCGTGAAATACAAGTGTCGAAGGAAAGATACAATTTGAAGATTAACATCGCCTATTAAAACGGTTCAGGAACCGACAGAACCGGTTTCTTTTTCTTCCCTCTTCCCCGCGTTCGCGCGACCGTCCGAGAAGGTGTCGACATTCAAAAACACATTTCATTTGGAGCAATAATGCGCGGGGAAAAAGTGTATTTGCTGAACGATTACATGCCGCGCGCTTACTTCACAAGACGAATGTCCGTCGCGCGAGTTACGCGATAATAGACAATATTTGCGCAAAAATAACCAGTGCGATTTCTCGTCAAGTCAACTAGACGTGACCGTCAAAAATCGTGTGTTACTGAATTAATTGCCTTTGAAACCAACCGAATTTTCAATTTTCTTTCAGCGTGACCCCTTCCTTGAAGATTCTATTCATGTGAAATTTCGGATAGTCATCCTCGAAGATAGAATTTCAAGTTTTCTACGAGTCCATTTCATTTTCTTTTCTTTCGAGTCAGAAACATGTCGTTCAGGAAGATTAGGGCAACAATTCATAAGAAAGTAACAAAAGTAAATACCGCACGTGGACTTACATAAAATCTCACTTGTATGCCAATTGAAGAAAAGAAAAGTTTGTAGACCACGTAAAACATATATTAGACAAACGCTGCGATGCGAGATATCTTTTGGAAGCCAGTAATGTGTGTTATCAAAAAATGTTATCGCACAATTGGTAGTGAAGCCAACAAGGCAGAAAGAAAGAAAGATTAAATATCGAGGCAAGAGAATAAAACAAACATGACGAACCTTCGAGCCTCCGCGACGATCCTCTGTTTCTCAGCGACATTCCTCCTATTCAGCAATTCGACATTCTGCGAGGTCATCTCGATCGTCGTGACACCGCTCTCGCGATAAAATTCCTCGACGAACTTCGTCTGGGCAGGTGGCTCGCAGCTGGCGGCTAATTTCCGTCGTTCCCTCTCGAGTTGTCTGTTACGATCGTTCAGCACTTCCACGCTCTGCGGCGACAGCCTCTCGCCGGCTCGTTTCTCACCGATGGCCTCCGTATTGCTGACGTTATGCAGCGATTTCCTCGAGAAATGATCGTCGATTCGATGTCCATTCACATTGCTCAACGCATCGGAACTTTGCGATTTGGACAGCTCGTGGCGATGATGATACCTCGACTGACTGTTGTTATTGTGGTTATTGTTGATGATGAGTGGCGGCGGATTGTGTTGCGTGACTTTGAGGAGCACCGGATCGTCGAGACGTGCATTCGGCGACATTGTGCGCTTGTAGCTGCCTTCGCTGTCCGGTGCTCCACGCTCCCGACGATACGCCAAGTACGAGGCCTTTGATTGGCTCCTGAAATAAAAACAGCAAGGAGCTCATCGAAGTGCGTTTATCGGCCGGTTTATTTACAGTTTTCTGAGTCATTGGATGTGTTGCGGGATTGACGTTTCGTCGAGTGGCTTATTATTGGCGTGATATTTTTCATTAGAAGGCAAGGCTTCGTCGGAAAGATCGCCAGTGGTTTTTTCGAGGGCCGACGGTCGTCCGCATGGGACAAAATTGTCGATCGAGGGATGCGGTCTTTAGTTTTCTCTTGGTACGAGCACCGAAATAAGACGTATGAAAAAGGAGACTGAACGAAGTAGTCAGACGATCGACATTAATGACATGTAATTGATAGCGATAACCTCCGGCGATAAGCAGCAGCAGAAGCAGCTCAACAAAGGAATCGTTTGTCGCGATATTCTCTCTCTCTCTTCCATATATAATTGCGAACATCTGCAGATAGTGCACGCATTGTGCGCGAAGACTCGAAGCGTATGAAATGCATCTCGTTTGAGCGTCGTCACGTAAAACGAGAGAAGAAAAAAAAAGTCCTTCTCTCTCCCGAAATCCGCGAGGCGTGGGACATTCCGTGCACGTACGACGCAGCGAGAAACGCATGCAGTTCCTTTCTTAGTCGCGATGCCTACGCTGAATAATAAAAGACGCGCCTAGTGCGCGTAACGCAGCTGGAAAATTGCTCGAACAGGAAACTTCATTGCCGTACGCGACGGCTTACGAAGGCTTCGGAGGGGGAAGAATTAGTTATCTTTGCGGCCTCGAGCTGATCACTCGCTCACGACAAGTCCTAATTCTTTCACGAGACCTTCGGCTGGCAGCCAAATTTGTCTCCAGTAGTCAGCGCCTTCTCCGCGCTGTCAACGGAGAAGCGAACAAATAGAAACAACACCACCAACGAGTGTGAAAATCGGAGATTGCTCAAGTCACTTCCTCGCGGAGCGGCGCGTGTTCGGTGTACGAAGCTACAGGGGATTCCCATTAACGCCCATTAGGGATGCTTCATGGCGCATGTTCCTGCGCGGTAATACGGCAACGAGAGATTTGTAGAAAACGGCCTCGACCCGATCAATTCGAGCAGTGAAACTCCTCGCAAACGAACAACGGAAAAACAGAAAGAACTAGGTTTATTACCTTCTCGTTGCCCCAAGTAATATTACTAATTGTCGACTCTGCAGACATTTGATACGCGCGAAAATCCAGTCGGTCGTTCTACTTTGACGACAACAATGAACATTTGCAGAAGCAGCAAACGTTTCGAAGCATAAGGCTCGCGAGCTTTTCCTTCTTTCCGGAGGGTTATTCGACTGCTCGACAACGAGTTTTACGCCGTCACGTTCCAAGTACGGAAACGTGCTTCATTTTGTTTCCTTATCCACGTATACCTAAAGGCGCTCTTCAAAATCCCTCCGCGCACACGATTTATAAGCGGACTTCCGCTCTGCACACATATCGGGAGTCGTGTTGTTTTTTTTTCTCGCCGATGTCGGTCGTGAAGGAAAGTTGCGGATCGCGCGCGAGCCAACTTTGTTGTGTCTTTTTGTTCTTTCCTTTGGTTATGCAATAGCGAAGGGCAATTTTCAGTTTCCCGATTGTTTCGTTCGTCCGCTGAAATTCAAGAGGAAAAAAATATAAATGTGGATGTACGGGAGGACTAAAAGAAGCCTGATGGCAAAACAGGTATACGCGAAAAAAACTTTCTTGCATTCATGTCGGAAAAATGTTCAAGGTAACGTGATCGAAATCTTAATTTTATTCAATTTACGTTATTCTTACGCGGAACTGTTTGCGGCTTGTGAGAAAAATAAAAGCAAAAATTAATTCTCTCTTTATATTTTAACATGTGTTTTCGTGTGCCTTTGATTGCTTTAAATTATATAGTCGTGCGATGCGAGTGTATTTTTCCATGCAACGTAAGCTCGTTAACTGTTCCCAAAAGTCTATACGTTGACTTCCACTGAAAAACTAGTATAGTCGTCAATGTATATAAAAGCTCTCGGAAGCTCTTCAAACAGCCCTCCGTCGACAAGTCACTCACCGTCTGCGAACTTGCATAATACATCCGCTACGGTTCGGACTTTGCTCGGACGTACGGAACGAGCGACTTTCTTAGAGCGATAATGTACGCGCGCGCGTGTGACTAAAATAAGGACGCAGCGTGAAATTCGTGAAGAAGAGGAAAAACGTAAAACGACGCGAGGCTAATGCCAAGCGTACGCGCGCGCGCACAGAAGTGAGCCGATCGTGCGAATAACCTGGTTTGTTTTTTTCTTTCTTACTCGAGGAAAAATGCGCGTCGGCGTGGAGGCGTCGATCGATCGATACTTGATCGGGACACGCGTCAAACGCGTTTCTCTCTCTCTCTCTCTCTCTCTCTCTTTTCTTTGCTTTTTTACGAACTTCCGGTGAGCCGAACGTGGGAAAAAAAAGAGTCGCGCGCGGCCCGTATGCCACAGTTTATCACTATCTTACGAGCAGCTGCTTGTAAAGTGGGCAATCAGCGTGTGCCTATTTTGTTCGTTTTACCGTGGCGCCGATTGCGATTCCGTTTTACACGAAGAGGATGGTCGTCCAGCGAGCGATTCGGTGATCCCCGAGGGACGGATGTTTGTCGAGTAATTTCGCGGTGATTAATCTTCCTCGCGAGGGCTTCTTACAGTTCGCGGACTGAGATATTGGACTGATAACCGGAGTATGAATCGCGCGTTGTACATACATGACTTCCGCTTTCTGTGACGGTTTTAATGAGCGAATATGCTTTTTGTTCCACTAGCATCGTTTTCTCTCCCATCTTCAATTGCTTTATCCGTTAAATCTACATAGGCATTGTACACGCTGTCTTGCCTCGAAAAAGTACACTTCTCTATTATTATTAGATTTTTAAGGTGCGAAAGCGTTTGTAAGAAAAATTTAATGTGTTCCCGTAAGTAAATAAAAAAAAAAAACACGCCGCGAGATTACGCGTTCGATTGTACAGGTACAATCGAAACTCGAACGAGATGGCCTATTTTAGCTTTTTCTAGAGCGACAACAACTTTCAATGATCGAAGGCTGTTTGAGAAAATCCAACGAGAGTTGTCGTCGAATTGAGTTTTCTTTCGTTGGGATTGACATTCCGCGAACTTTTTCTTTCCCCATTTTCACTGAGAGCTGAAAACAAAAGCTGACGAACGATAAATCTCCACTCAAACTGATGTTTCTCCTTTGCAAATTGCTTGTCGATACATCAATCGATGATGTACGAGCGCGCGTGAAAATCGAAACTCTCTATCTTTCAAAGTTTGATTGATAAGTCGCAGCCAGATACAATGGCAGTAGTCGGCGATTCTAATTGAATTCGGTGAAAGGAAGCCCGGAACCGATTGGTTTTTCCAAGCTACGGCGAGAGAGGCAAATTAGATTGCACGCCCGCTAAGCCAATTACACGCAGCGATCAAGTTACTCCTGCTATACACGAAGTCGGCTAAGTTTAGACGTCGAAAGACGTCAAAGACTGCCACACATCGGTGCGCGGTATCTTTACATTGTACATCGAGCAGCGGAAATATTAATTGGAAAAATTTTTTGCTACATTCTTTTCTTCTTCTTCTTCTTCTTCTTCTTCTTCTTCTTATTCTTCTTTAACGACGTGCGATTACTAAATTCACCAAGTATTTCTGACGAAGCAAACGCTCAAATAATTGATGATTGAAATAACGCCGCTCGCTTTTTCAACGATGCTTCTTTTCTCTTTTTACGATGCTTTTGCGAAGGGAAGACCTTGAGACGCTGCACCGATGTGCGAAAGCAGCTAACGAAAAATGATCAATTGTTGCTTTTTGAAGTGTGTTATGCGTGTAGCATCGTTTTCTTTCGCCACTCGACGCTTTAATCAAGTGTGCAAACAAAATAGACAGGTGCGCGAAATACCAATTGATTGGAATGGTAGATGTTACGGCTTGAGTTGCAAAGGTTGGAAAAAGATAGTGCTATTATAGGCAGAAAAGCCGTATCTTCGAACAACGCAAAATGGCATCTACGGCAACAAAATGTTTGACGCTGTTGGACAGTAATTCCTCTAAAAAGTCGTCATTGGTCGACGCCATCTATCAAGATCGAGGCGCAGTACTAATTCTAACAGGTTTGCGATGTCCATTAGCACCTCGAGGACCTCGAGCACCTCGAGCACCTCGAGCACCTCCAGCACCTCGAGAGGCTCCTCAAACAAAGCTAGCAATTGTAAACAATAGAGCCATAATCAATATCCAGCGCCGTCGCGCAAAAACACAATCTATACCTAACAGTACAGGCCGATTCTGTTTTTTCCTCTTTAGCCAATTGCTGCGCGCTGTAAAACCTAATGGTCGGGACAAACAAAGGACACGGAAGGCGAAGGAGAAAAGAAGCAAAGTGCGTGTACGCATGTAGCAGATAAGCGGCGAAAAGGGGGAGAGAGGAAAAAAAAGAGTGCGCGGCGGCGCCATTTTTACGGACAATAGCGGTTCGCCAGGATGGAAAACAATTGGACCGTAGTTGTCGATTGTCCACACTGGCCGAGCGTGACGAGCGAGGCAAGAAAGAAGAAGAAGAAAAAGAAGAAGAAGAAGAAGAAGAAGAAGAAGGCACCTTGCTCTCCTTTGTACTTATAACGCTTCTCTCCTTTCATTTTCGAAGCCGCGCGGCCGGCTACTGTTATAATCTCGTTATGGACTTTCGCGCCTCTGCCGATTGTTAATCGATCGCGCGGCCGCCGCGTGGCCAAGCAAAAGCGAGACGAACCTCTTGACGTGGAACTTGTTACTGCCGAACACCATGCTGTTGATACTGGCCAGCAAGTTGTAGGCTCCTAAATTCAGCATCCTAGAAGCGCGCGCGCGCGGACGAGGCACTGTCGCACTGGCTACTCGGTCATCGTGCTCGCGAGGCGCGCGGCGCACTCCGGTTCCCGTCGCGGCGACGCGCGTGCCACTCGAACGCTCGACCGTAACTGGCTTCCAGCCGCGTAGTTGGCTTCGGCGCCGACGACGACAGAGGGAGAGAAAGATGCGCGGGTGGGAGGTGCGCAACGAGGTGTGCAACGCTCTTGTACGCCGACGGAAGGGGGCAGGCACACAAAGACGCGCCACAAGTCAAAGAACCAATACATTTTATTGACCTCGCCAAGCGCGAGTCTATTTGTTTTCTCGCTGTTTATTGCTCTCGCGTCCGCTGCATTTTCGGAGAGAGCTGGAAATACCGAGGCTCCGCCGTCGATGCGCCGCCCGTAGGTTTTCGCCCCCTTTTCACCGACGAATCTCAGCTGGGCCTCGGTTACGCGCGTTTGTTGTTCGCGCACCGCTCCTCGATATAAATATTGCCTATATCCACGCGCGCGCTTCCCAAAATAGATCGCTCGGCGATGCTATTACCGAGCTATTTTTACATTTTCACTTGGAGCGGCGATTTTGTAGCTCGGCTCCGATTTTCGGAATACACCGCTGGCTGCTCGCTGAGCCGGCGACGAGCGACAGCGCCGCTGAAACTTGAAAGGGAGAGCCTCCAATGCCGTCTCCTCTAAGCGGCGAGCAACCGGGAAGACGACGATAAAGAGAGGGCGAGCACGTCCGCAGCCCTCAACTGGCGAAACTGCTTTAGTTAACAAGCGCTTCGAAACGGCGACCTACATAACATAACATAATGTAAATACGAATTCGCGGTTGACATTTTTCGGGGGCGCCCTAAAGCAGCTGCTGCTCGCCGCGTATAAATCGACCGTTTGAGGTTTCGTCCCGCCTTATCATCCCGGCGCGCAAATGCCCCCATGCGCGCGCACGCGCGTGCGGTGAAAAATATCTAGGACGGCGGGCCCGCATGATAGTGCTCGTTTCGCGCGCGAGATATAATTTGAATTTCCACGGTTCCCCTGGGTTCCTCTGGGTTCTAGAGTGCTCGACTCGACTTTTAGGCGTTCGGCGGGGGCTTCGTCGCGTCGGATATGCCGAGTGTGTCCATTGCGATCGGGAGCGGCGAAAACGAAGCTTCGAAGCTCCAGCGGCGGCAGCGCCGCGCGCGTCGATACCTGGCGTGCTCCGAAGACATCTCAATCTTCCGCGAGCGAGCGGACGGGAAAACAAGAAAGAGAAGGAAAAAAAAGAAGCAGCCCGAAAAGAAGAAGGAGCGGCGGCGACAGAGAGAAAGACCGGACGGGAAACGGGCTTTTGTGGTCGCGCGCGACTCTGGCAAATTGTGCGCTCGGCTATTATCTCCTTCGCGGCTTTACCGTTATCCGCGGCGGGCTTCGAAAATTGCGTTCGGAGGAGGAGAGGCTCCTCCTCGCGCGTCTAGACGAGCTCGAGCACATTTGGGTCAACGCGCGTGGGCTGCGCGTGCGCGCGTGACATTGCGCGATCGCGATAAGCGCGCGGGACAATATTTGCCCGTCGCATTCTTTCTCCCGAATGCGCGTTCCCTTGCGCGTCGCTTATCTCGAGGCTCGAGCGGAACGCTTCGCGTCTGCCAGCCTCGAGCGTCCGATCGATTGCCCCGCCGAAATCGTCTCGCGACGTCTCGATTCCGCGTGTTACCGAGAATCTTAATTCCAACGCGAGCCGATCCGCGTCTGGAAACGCACGCATCCTCGACGGCGAAAAGAAAAACGCTAAATCCTTTGCCGCGAGCCAAGGCTACGGTTACGAAATCCAAAAGTTTCGTTGCATCGAGTTATCGGCTGAAGATCGCTGAATTACTTAGCTACCGTGCCGCGCGCGCAAGACAGCGATATGATAGCATAAGCATTCTCCGGACAGAAAGACAGTAAGACACTGGGATAAGATAAAGGAGGAAAAAACGTACGTACGCGTTGGCAAATCGAGATTGGTCTTGCGAGTGCCTTTAATTTGCGAAATGCACTTGGGTTTCACAGTTTCACAAGCGAGCCGGCCGATTTGCCGATTAATTGTCAAAGTTTTCTTGCTCGGCGGGGATCGCGTGGGATCGCCGAGTGCGCCGGGCGCTGCCTCCCCGTCAATGATCAATTTAGCGCGATCCTTCATCGAGTCCCTCGACGCTCGAGGCCTCCCGGAAACAAAGGAAAACGACGAGCGCGCAACGTTGCTCCGGGGCAGGGCTTCGGCGGCCGTCGCTCGCGCGCAAACGAGTTCTGGTCACGACGCGCGGGCAGCGAGGCAAGTGGCCGCGACGGGCGCGCGCGTCGAGAGGAAGCGTCGCGGCGCGACCTCTGTGCCCGCGCCGAATCGGAGCGCGCGACCAATTGACGCCGTCGTCGCGACGGAGAACTAGATCGTCCGAGGATCTTTCGCGGATGCCGCGGCCCCGGCCGGAAATTTCGCGGATGAGAGGGTCCCGTTAGCAGCGCCGCGAAGATATCGGCGCGTTTCCTTCGGGAAGGTCACGCGACGCTCTCCGCTGCTCGGCCAGCCGTATTATAGTGGCACTCCGAGCGAGACCGAAGCCGCCGTACAATGCCCCTGCCGCGCAGCTCGGCTCCTCCGTGCTGCTGCTCGGTCTTCCCGCCTTAGCGGATCTCGGATCTCGGATGACGACTCGGCGGCATCGCCGAGCTTGCGCGTCCGAGCGATCGCAAATCAACGACGGCTGTCGTCTCGTTCTATCGGCCCTGCGGATAACGCGCTCGAAGAGCGCGCAGAGCGCGTCGTGCATTGCCAAGCACACTGGCTTATCGTCGCGGCAATGTCGTCGACTGACAAAGGCTCGCTGCGTCTATTGGAAAATCACGTCCGCGTTCGGAATCCAGTTGCAATATCCTCGGGGGGCCGCTGCGCACCGAGAAGAGCGTGACATTCCCGTACCCGCGAGACAATTGTCTGGACGCGCGCGTCTCGGGTTCGCCGAAAACCTAGCCAGCGAAAACATCGACACCGGCGCGCGTGCAGACAGCATAGTGAAAAGGAAGGCGCGTCGCCAAAGGGAGGACGACGCGGTGCGTCGGCAACCGCGCCTCCAATCAGAGCGAGGAGGAAACAAAAGAAAAAGCTGAAAGATTTATCCGCGCGTACATCCTCCTCCTCCTCCTCCTCCTCTTCCATTCTAACAAGGCGCCACGCGAAACGAAAAGGAAAAACAACGGCGACGACTATTTTTATACGGATTTCACCTTTGACACTCTACTTCGTTGTCGCTCGCTGCTCCGTAAAAACAGAACGTTTGAAACTGTCATATCAAATCGTTTAAGGATTTATTGCCGGAGAATGCAGAGTAAAGAAGAAAACAACGAGAACGCGCAACCTTGCAGTGTGAAATACGAGGCATGTGCACTTTATTATTTTTATGACCGATTATTGAAGAGACTGGCGAATGCTTTTTTCCGCGATAACGATTTATCAAGGTTAACGATGGTATCTCCTGCAAACAATAACAAATTGAAAAAGGGGGACTTTTGTATAAGTGCAAGTGAAAAATTGTCAGTTAGAGTAGAAAGGAAAAGAAAGTAGTGTGTAATGGGTCTCGCAGTTATGCGAGCGCGTGCGTGCTGTACAGCTATCTTCAAAGAACAGAGCAGAGAGAGAGAAAAAAAGGAGCCAGATCATTCGTCAAGATATCCGACGTCTACACCTTCTCTTTATCTTTTTTGACGTGATATATGTAACGACAAGATAAAGACGTACTCCACCTACGTCGATAAAAAGAAAACGGAAAAAAAATGGAACGTCTTCGTGTAAAAGGGCGAGGGAAATTTTGTAATTAATGCAATCTTCGAAATGAATCATCTCCTTTGTCAAGATCGGAAAGGTGACAATTGTATTTTCTTTTCCTTTCAATGCGCAAATGAATGAGACCGATGACAGAACTTTTTTTTTAATTTTATTACTGTACCGATATTAACTTTTTACAGAAAAAATTATCGCTTAGTGAATCACGCGCGCGATTATTCATCAACATCGCGAGGCACAGCGATCATTCTTCTCGAGAGATAATCACCCGCGAAAAATCAAATCGACACGTATCGACAGTTACAGCAAAAAAAGAGATTCGATCGAATTTTTATCGAGAGGGAAAAGAAATTGATGCGCCTCTGCAACGACTTTCTAAAGCCATCCATTCACGAGAAAAAGGCAGCCCACCAACGCGAATTAAAGAAACAAACATCCGCGGTGTCGAAAGCGAAAAGCGTAAATACACAGCGGCGAATCAATCAGAACACGTGCGCGCAGAAAGTAAAAATGGAAGGCGTGCGATCTAATTGAAACGTGAAAACGAAAGTCGAACGGACAGTGTGTCAGATCGATCGATCGTTCTTACTTTTTTTCCTTCCTCTTCCTCGCATATCACACACATGCTCGAGCGTGAGGTATTTAGGGCATTCTCGGTCGATTGTTCAATTTCATCACTGTCTATCTTATATTCTTTACAAAACGAGTTTTTTTTTCCTTTGCGTAAGTAGTGGTTCCATTGATTTGTTATTGCACGCGATTATCACGTCATTTACATGTGTTACAGTTCGGCCAAAGAAAAACAGGCGTGAGAAAGTTATTTGTTGGCTAATGAAAATTGCTTCATAAGTAGACGGCTTTTCAAGTCTGATAAATGATTTCTGTCGTCTGCTTGGCATTTAGGTCGATCATTGAGGAAAAACTAATGCACATCACGTGTGATTAATACGAATGGCTTCCTTTGTATATTAGATATAGACAGTTTAATCAAATATCCGATGAATTTGATAATTTTGGTATTGAGAACCGTTTGTTTTTTGATCGCGCCTGAAGACAAGAATGCGACCGTTTGTTCCTCTCGATGTTCCGGAAACAGCTTGCTCGTCTTCCATTGCTCGCGGAACGTAAACTCTTAAATCTCGATTGAACTTGGAAAGGTGACACGTCGATGCATTTGACTTGCCGGGCGAACTAAAATACACACGGGACTCACCCATGGGCAGCGTGAACAGGCGGCGCGGGCCTCGGCGGCGGCGAGATTCTCTTTCTGGGCGCAAGTGGCGGCGGCGCCTCGCTCGGCTCCGCCGAATACTTGGCCGGCAAGACAAAGTAATTGCGCGCTTGCTGCTGATACTTGTTGCTGAGACGACTGCTGCCGGTGCTCGACGGCGACGTGACGGCGCCGCCCGCTTGAGTGGTTCGAGGTTTTTGACCGCCTAACCACGGCTGATGGCTTTTTGAAGATGAGTCGTCCACTTTCAACGAGTCTTGCCTTTTGATCTTTGGTTCCACCTGCAACTGAAATAACACGAAGCATCGCGCTGCTGAGAGCTGTCGCCACTTCACGAGACAAGTGCAATTTCTACGTAGCAATTATTGCCCGATATGAATAATTTCAGTAGCGTTCGGATCCTCTATTGCCCAGAGAAATTCTTACAGAAATGTAGTTCATTTGCTTTAGTATTTTTTACACTGCGATAAGAATCGAAATTTTCTTAATCGAAATAAAAGATCTAGAACGGCTTACAGTACTACTACTTTTAATCTATTAAAACCACTGATAAGCAACGTTGAAAAAATAGACAGCTGCTTTCGAATAAAGATGATGAGATGAACGGTTGCGCTCTTCTAATGAACAATCTTTAGTCTCTAATTACATCGTGAAATTCAAGTTATTTAGCAACTCCTTCCTCAGCGAAGATGATAAAAACTATAAAAATGCTCTTCACCTCGCGACACGAAATGTTATTGGCGACGGGAACTTGAGGCGCCGGTCTCTGATTTCCAGAGTCACTATACTTCTGAGCGATCAAATCCGGCAACTGATTCGCCAAACCGTAACCAGCTTCAGCGGACCGCCTAACAGCGGCGATCTTCTCGTTCATTAGGTGCTTCTGCGCAGGTGAATATCGCAAACTCGACCTTGCGCCACTCAAAATTCGACTACTCGAAGCAAAGCCATTTTCATTGACAGCTTTTGATTCGGAAATGCTCGCAGGAAGTGGCGTTTTGTATTCGAAGTGAAAACTGTGCTGCTGTTCTTGATTAGGAGACATGGAGTTGGGTTTCGTCGGGGAGGTTCTTGGTGAAGATTCCAGTTGTAGTTTCTTACGGCTCGATCTCCTCGATGGAAAATTTCGATCCTGCAATGACAACGACGTTATGATTAGCGATGTTTTCTTGTCATTTAATTTGAAGCTCAAGTAATGCGGATTCACCTTGATTCTATCGTGAGCGATTTCCTCGAAATACGAGTTGTCGTGTCGTTGCTCAGGTGACGGAAGTCTCGATTCCGCGGACAGTTCCGGTGGCGGAGGTGGCAGTGGGTCGTCAAAGTTCTGCACCTCGATATCCGTGACCGTCGGCGGCGAAGGCGGCGGGAGGTCAGGACTGGGCAACCTGTCGCTGTACGCAGTCCTGCGGACAAACGGACGCCAGTGAGCAAAATCACTTTCCAAGATCGACAAATTAACAAATTAACGCGCGTACGCGTACCTCAGATGTGGCTTCTTCGGCGGCCTTTCGGGCACCCAATCATCGATCGAGATAGCCGGGCCCACGATCACCGGTCCAAGCAAGTCCGTAGACAAGCTGCCACAGCTATTGCTATGCTGATGCCTAGGTGCGGACACCTCGGAAGCACCGTTCGTTGCAATGTTAGCACTCGTCGGTTGCTGCTGGCAAGCTTTATTGACGGCATTCTTTTCTCGCCAA